GGGCGTTATATCAAGGTTAGACTATATTCCGCTTTTATAGCATTCGTCTCTGCAATATGAATATTCTCAAACATAATTTCTGCTTAATACTTACTTAAAATCCAATCGATAATATTTTTATCTACAAACAAGACTAAGTTTTATTATATTAAAAAATTGGTCTTCATCTTTATTTAAAAAATTCAACGAGTTGCGTAACTTTCTCCGGCAACAAAATTCATAATTGCATGTGGCGTCACCATTGCAAATTCTTAAGTACAGCGTAGAACGTTGATAAAGCATGATAATGTGAAAAATGTATCTGTAATCTCTATGTACAATTTAGTCTCTACGGGGTGACACCACAATGAGATCTCGCACCACCTCAAAATCTTCCTAGGGCGGCAACCTCTGGTTCGGCCCGTGAAAAAAGTTTTCTTTCCAATTCGGCCCGGGGACAAAAACTGTTGGCCACCCCTGTACTAGTTTATCGTAAATCGATTATCGAATCGAAACAATGAAAGCGTTTTTAAATAAAATAAATATTTAATTTATCCAAAAAGGCTGTTTATTAAATCAATAAAATATTGTATTAAATTTGAATGTATTCTATAGGTATAATTATTTATATTTGTTTTATGAAATTATTTGAATCAATAATATAAGACATTTATTAAGTTCATTGCTTCGATAAAACGCGTTTTATAATAATACAGTAGAGCCTCGATTATCCGACCCAATTGGGGACTGGGGTTGGTCGGATAATTGAAAAGTCGGATAACCGAAAAAGTATGTAAAAATCCATTATTAGTGTAGTATATTATTATATCTTATGTAATTAGTATATTAGTATATTAGTACAGTGGTGCCTCGTACAACGTACTTAATCCGTTCCAGGTGCACGTCCGTTAAGTGAAACGTCCGTTATACGAAACGCATTTTCCCATAGAAATACATGTTAAAACATATAATTCGTTCCGCAGCATAAAATAACCGTACTGTACCATAAAAAATGAAAATGGAGCAGACA